GTGGAACTCGCAAAAATCAAATGCCTCTCGAAAATACTTTTTTATGAATTATGACTATATTAATATAGTCGATCTATGATGATTCTTCACATTAGTTAAGGTAGTCAATCATAAATTTAGCAATTTGAAGCAAATTTCGCTAATTTTGGATAGTTGGCTTAGGTTCATATTAATGTTGATAAATTTTTTGAAAAAATTTTTTAGTGTTAATGGTTTTCTGAATTTACTGATCATGCAAGCATCATGAAAAGACTGAATATACGCATTTTATTTTTACAGTTTCACAAATATTCAAGTTTTGTTTCAAACTTATTCAGTTATAACACAAAGTTTATCCTTATTACAAACTGAATTGGGAAGAGCGCATGGCCAACCTAATTCGCATTGCTCTCCTTCTTCGTATAAGATGGGGAACGTTTTTGCACTGAAAAATTCCTTTTTTAAATTTACGGGAAATAACGAAGCAAAAAAAGAATATTATGAAGAGAATCTGCAGAAAAATATGATAAATAAAAATATAAGGAAATATTATTTGCCTCGGCCAGAATTTGCAAACGGTATATTGAAAATTTTTTTTCATTCCACTTCCATAATATGCACAATTATTATATGTTGCACAGCCGACATCTGTGGTTGATCCCGATGCAAACTAAAAGTATCATAAAGCTGATTAGGGCAAATAGGGAGAATTTACGTAAGTCAGCCACAACTTATCGAAAATAAGCAATTAATTCAAAAATTCGAACCTGCAAATAACTGTCTCTATTCTGACCTGTTAGAGTAACATTTCGCTCTTTTTTTGTTATTTTTACCCATTCTTTTAGACCGTATTTTACCGGATTTTCTCAAATTATAAATAAATGCAAAGTGAATAATTTCAAATTAAAGTCAAATTAATTATCATTTATATTTTTTGCATTTGCATTTTGCATTTTTATCACTACTTTTTTCATTGGGAAATTCCTATGCACATTTCATTCTTTTCATCATTTCCCAATTTTTTTGAAAATTTTGTTCAGATTTACTTGAAGAATTGTTTAAGACCAGATAGACTTCACCAATATCCGATGGATCCATACGTGGTAAAGTATATTCGCACTCTGTTGCTACCTGTTGAGCCAAAGCTTGTAAAGTGCAGTTCCATCTCTAAAAATTCGCGGAAAATATACATTTAGAGAAAATATTCGAGTATTTAACGCAAAATGTCAATCACTAACAAGCAAAAAAAATTTTCGCAAAACTTTCATTGACGATCAAGAGGTGTCCTCCTATCCCCTTTTGTATCCAATTAGGTTGATTATTATTTCCAAAATTATTTGGCTTTTTTTAAATTACTTTAAATTAAATTGTTCAAAGTTGTTACAAGCTGTTAACATTTTTGCTTAACTGCTATTTATTTGTATATTTAATGATTTAATGAAATCAATAAAACAATTTTAAAATTAACCAATTTGTAAATTTCTTTTCCCATTGGAAAATTTCCATTTTTGGCCGAAATATTTCCGGCAGCAAGTTGAATTCGGAATTTATTCATAGCATCAAGAGCACTTTTTTTACATGGAAACTTTCCTTTATCGCACTTTCTTTTTAAGTGAAAACCATGAAATTCTATTTCATTCAAACCTTTTTCTGTTTCGCAGAGTCCATCCTTGTTGCAAATTGAATTGGGACGACAATTTTTATTTATAAATTTGCTAAAGCAAATGAAGAAAAAATATTTCGATTGAAAAAAATTTTCTAAAAATAAATTCCTCTGCTGGAACTTAAATCAGCGGTCTGGAATTAAGTGAAAACCATGAAGTTCTATTTCATTCAAACCTTTTTCTGTTTCGCAGAGTCCATCCTTGTTGCAAATTGAATTGGGACGACAGCATGGCCACCCTGCTTCACATTGTTTTCCTTTTTTGTATAATTTCTTGAACATAAATCCACTAAAACTCGTAAAATTTATGTAAAATATATATGTATCTAAGATCAACAATAAGTGATTAAATTAAAATTATGAAAAATATTCTTAAAGAAAAATCATTACCTTGGCCAAAATTTGCAAACGGTATACTGAACAGTAGGGCGTTCATCCATTTTATAGTTTTCATAGTTATCATAGT